TTTTTTTTTTTTTTTTCTGTAGAAATGAGGTCTTGCTATGTTGCCCAGGCTGGTCTCAAAATCCTGACCTCAAGCAATCCTCTCGCCTGGCCTCCTAAAGTGTTGGAATTATAGATGTGAGCCACTGTACCCAGCTGCATTATAATAATTTGTTTATGTCTTTTTCCACCCTGCTGCACCATATACTCCTTAAGGATCCGATTCCTACTCATCTTTGAATTCCTAGAACCTGGCACAAAGTAGGTGCTCAACAGATGCTGATATAATAAATGTAAGATGCTTTAGTGTTATAAAGAGAACAAAAGGAAGCTCCTGAAGACCATGAGACCAGTAGCAGCTCTCTCTCTCTTCACCCCTGTTACTTATAACCAGAATTTACCACTAAGTGAAGAGACAGCATTACCAACCATTGCCCATGAATTCTGGGCCCTGTATAGCCAAGGGATCTGCGTGTTAGACACCACGTGTATTAGTGCCCTATTGCGCTATGACAAATTACCACAAAATTAGTTGCTTAAGACAACACAAATTTATTCTCTTACAGTTCTGGAGTCAGAGTCAGAAATAAGTCTTATGGGGCTAAGACCAAGCAGTCAGCAAGGCTTCATTGCTTTTGGAGGCTGTAGAAGGAGAATCTGTTTCTTTGCCCTCTTCCAGCTTCTAGAGACTCCCCACATTCCTTGGTTTGTGGCTGCAGCCAGCAATTGCATTGCTCAGACCTCTTCTTCGGTCACCACATCTCCTCTGATTGTTTGTCCTGCCTCCTTCTTTCACTTGCAAGGACCATTGTGATTATTTTGAGTCCCACTTGGTAGTTTAGGATAATCTTCCCTCTCAAGATCCTAAATCACATCAGCAAAGTCCCTTTTGATATGTAAGGCAACATTCAGAGTTCTGGGGCTTAGGACAGGAGGAGCATCTGCAGGGAGCCACTATTCTGCCTACCCACACTGTTCTCTTGAACAATTTTAAGCCCACACAAACAATTTACTGGTGAGACAGAAGGACCTTGAACAATTCATTTCTAGAACACACAGCTAAGCTATAATTACCCATTCACTGGGCCACATGTGGATGGCAGCAATAAACAACTATTAGGAACTAAGTGAGCATAACCTGTGAATGGGATCTCAGCTTTGACACAAGTAGTGGTGCAATCTCAGGCCATTGATTTAACTGCTCTAAGGCTCAGTTTCCTCATGTGTAAAATGGGGATTCTATTACTTTCTCCCTCTCAGGATTTGGGGAGGATCAAGTGAGATAATGTATATAAAGCTCCTGTTCAGCCCAGAATTAGGAACTTTGGGGCTGCTGCCATCACCAGTACAGAGTGAAGATTGGAGCACTGATTTTACCAACTCACAGCGGTAGTATTGAAACAGTTTCAATCCTCATTGATCCTGAAGGCTCAGCTAAAGTTTGCTTACTCAAGATTCCTTAGAAAATTAGTGGCCAGGCTCCGTGCCTCAGCCTGTAATCCCACACTTTGGGAGGCTGAGGTGAGTGGATTGCCTGAGCCCCGCGG